GTTAAATCTGATGAGTTAATTTCTGCACGATTTTCTTCAACAATTGTAGTACTATAAAGCTTTATAAACCTATTCACTCACAGGATCTAAATATCAGTTTTCTTCATTTTAAGAAAGTGTAGCTCTATGAACCTGGTATTGAATAAAAAATATCCATTTGTTGATATTTTTTCTTGTCCCATCACATTAAGCTTGAAAATGAATGACATTGTACAGAGAAACACGTACACATCTTTGGCCATAAACAGAAATGAAAAGGTGAAAGAAGTTGAGATGAATGTCCCTTATTTGTGTTTGGTTAGTTGAGGTGAAGTTCCAGTCTGTCTCACTGATATAAGATAAGAGGGTGGTCAATCAGTGAAATAGATCTTGTATACCTCCTTTGTCTGTTATTTTGTTCCCCTTTGTCTTTTAAATTAGTTTGTAAATGTTGTAGCTTGGTAATTATTCATCTAGTCTATTTTCGAAGTATGCATCTGTCACAGACTATAAACTTTTACTTTTCATCACCTTTCTACTATCTTTTCTTTTTTTACTTGGTTAATATTTAATTTTTAGGAGGCTTTTGAACATTGTATGCTAATTGGGTAATCACATGATTTTGAATGCCACTTGAAATAAAGAAGAACAATATTTAAAAATATTGCTGCTGAAAAGCCCTTTTCAGGGAGCGCAATAAATAAATATGTATGTATGTATGTATCTCGCTGAAAAGTTTACAATCAACAAACAAGTTACGTCAAACAAGCTGGTTATTAGATTGCAGATTCAGTGCCTTCATGGTATTTTAAACATATTTTGTCATAAAACATACTCTGCCATGCATAAGCTCGTGATCGCATGAGAGGTAAAACTCAGCTCTACGTGATCAATTCCAACCCATGCCCCCTGGTCCCAGGGCGCTACATTGTAAAAACTTACTGTATTTTGAACATTTTTATTTGCAAAAGAATAGTCCTGCCTTCCACCTCTGAAATCTCCTTTAATGTATGTGCATATTGAAGATGCATAGCTAATTTTAGTCCCTCTGAATTTAAAAAGTAGCGTAACGAAGCCTGGTAGGCCAATTTTGGCCAATTCTCTAATATTTTGGAACTCATTCCGCTCGATGTGATGTCGGCAACGCGTTGGAAACTCACTCTTAAAACTGAATCGTTTCAAATTGAATAATAATATTCGACGAGTACAATAAATGAAAAAAAAAATACAGCAGTTTTCCTCCTTACTTCGGGCTCCTGGTCTCTCGAATTCCCACCAACCGGTTCCGGTTTCTAAATTACCCTTGAAGGCTCGTGTAACCAGGAGTGTGGACTGAGGTGATAACATGATAAGTTGCCTGCTGTAGAGATGAGGTGATGTAAATATCGTACGTTCTGTTGTTAGCGACTGTAATAAAGTTTCGCAAAGTTCACAAATTTCAAAACCAAAACGAAACATAAAACCGTGTAGGGATATTTCAATTTTTGAATGGTTGCTTTGCAATTCTTCTGTCGAAGTCACCAATTGAAAACTTTTAAATTACTCTCTTTTACACCGGATAAATATTTCATTCATTGACTGAGTGTAACACTTTTTACACGTGTTTTGAAGTCTTTTTGTCATGCCATGCCGTCAGCTTGTGTGAGCTAATATATATAAAACTAAACTAACTCGACTCGTGATCAGCTTCGGCTGACGACGGTAAAAGTATAAACGCATGATCAGTCGCACCCATCGTGCGACCAGATTGGATCTAAAATGGCTAACACGTTTAAAGCCTTTCAAGTTTTCTTGTTTCTCAACCTTCAAACGTCCTGTATAATGGCCTTGAATCTCTCAGCATACTACGACCAGTTTGCTAATCCACTTGACCTTCCACTACCACTTCCAAATATCTCTTTGGCGAAAACGAAGGTCTCCAAGGAGTGTTGGGACGCTGTGCTCAAGCTGGACGATTTAACGATTGCTCGTTGTGAGTACAGTCGAACCTGTATTTTTCACTAACATTAAGCGGTCACCTATATTTAGCGGTCGTGGTTATTGTTTTCTACTTGTCTTCAACGGTCACTGAAAGTAGAGCTATCCACATAAAACTAAGGATAATCTTTCAAGTTATTTTTAATCCATGTTTCTATCCCAAAATCAAAGTTAGTATTACTTTGAGCGAGATTTCATGCATAAAGTGGTCCGGCAACTTTGACATGAAGTGGCGTTGTGTATCGTTTTTGATGATACCCCTAACCTGTGCAACCTGTATCAAACGGTCATTCCACCATTTCCCGTGGGTTACCTCTTAACACTGGTTCTTGTGTATTGAGTATTCAGCAATAAATTTCAACCTCTGTTACCGCGTAGCGTGGAAATTCTTTGACAGTGTGTATTTTAACAGTGTGTATTTTAATATATGATTGCACTTTATGATTGAATTCGTATTATCTTAATTGTAATGGTATTACATTTCGCAAATTCTGAGGCTCTTGGAAGATTTCCGTTTTATGACAACGGGCAATATTAATATTTACGGACCAAAGCTCTTAAAAATGCCGTAGTGTCAAGCTCTTGCGCGACAGGCGAAATCGCAACCACAAAACGTGACCTGCCTTGGTCCATGCGTGATTCACACTACGTCCACAGTGTGCCGATTAAATATGGAAAAGGCGTTTTTAGATTTATCCGCATTGATTTATTT